CCCCGAAGCTCGTCAATCGAAGCACTGAGGAGTTTACATCTCAAGTCGCTCTTCGCAAGAAGGTTTTTTTCATCGCTGCATTGGAATCCACAAATGTCTGATTGGGGATATTGATTTTAACTTTAATTTTATCAAAAATCAAGCTGTTCATTAACATAACACAAGACGTTCTAATGATCTCCGTTTACCCCTTCCTCGAATTAACTGGGGTGAACAAACATTTATCTATCAAGCTGCGAAAGACTGGAACAGTCTTCCAACTGATTTGAAAGAAACACATCTGTTATTTATTTTAAAATCCAAGCTAAAAACTTTTTTAAAAGATTTTGATTAATTTTAAACTATGATATTTCAATCAGTTATCGATTTTAAGATTTTGACCCTTTTTAAATTTATTTATAAACACATTTTATTTTACTTATTTATTACTATTATTAATTAGTTAATGAGGGCCCCACTGAAAATAGCTACGGCGAGTTGAGCTCCCTCGTTAAATGTTATTATTATTATTATTATAATTATTATTATTATAATTATTATTATTATAATTATTATTATTATAATTATTATTATTATAATTATTATTATTATAATTATTATTATTATTATTATTATATAGCAAGAACGTGGAAACTAACGTCGGAAAATGCTTCCTTGCACTTATTGATAAGCATTTCACCAAAACTAATCCTCTTCACAAAATTTTTAAACGAAACAGCCTTAAATTGAGCTGCAGCTGCATGGGCAGCATTAAAACTGTCATATCTAACCATAACAAAGCAGAAATCCGAAAACTCGCAAGCACTAATGATCAATGCAGTAAATGGCTTGAACCCGGGGGTAACATGTGAAGGTGTAGTCTGATCGTCCGGTTGAGTGTAGTCCTGAGAAGGACTGTTGTCGGTGGTAGTGACTGACGTTTCGACAACCTGTGCGGAAGTCATCATCAGAATCAAGTCACTTGACTCTGATGATGACTTCCTACAGGTTGTCGAAACGTCAGTCACTACCACCGACAACAGTCCTTCTTAGGACTACACTCACCCGGACGATCAGACTACACCTTCACTAATGATCAAGCTGGGAAAAGCTGCAACTGTAGGAAACCTGACATATGCCCATGGATGGAAGCTGTAACATGGAAAGCGTAATTTACCAGGCAGAGGTCACCACAGAAACCGCAAAGGAAACATACATTGATTTCTGTGACACCGCGTTTAAAAGCGTCACAGGAACCACTTGTGTTCATTCCGAAACGAACGTTACAGGCATGCTACTGAACTTAGTAAATATATATGGAGTCTTAAAGATAAGAACACTAAGTTTAATATTAAGTGGCGCAAGGTGAATCAAGCTAGTTCTTATTCCAATGTAGCTAGGAGATGCAATTTGTGTTGGTGGGAAAAATATTTTATCATTTGTAAACCGAAAATGGCAAGTTTAAACAAAAGAAATGAGCTGACATCATGTTGCAGACATGTCAGTAAATTCCTGTTAAAGAACGTAACGTTGCGATAGCGTGTGTAGTATATTGCGCGTGCATGTACACATTGTCCTGTCTTTTAAATTTCGGTAGATTGCAACCGTTATTTCTGGCAGTTGCCTGACGATTGCTTCGCAAGAGGCATGAAATCAGAGTTGCAGTAAAAGTTCAAGTAACCTAGATCTTGAAGTATATATATATATATAATCTAGGAATGGGATGAAATCCTCATCAACTTGAAAGTGCTCGATAGCTGAACTAGAGCAATGAATGAGCAGAAAGCAGAAATGAGCTCGCATCGGGTTGCAGGCATGCTAGGAAGTTTCTACTAAAAAATGTTCTTTTTTAATGACGACGATCGCGCGCGCGCGCGCTTCACGCAACGATCTTAGCAACTATCGCGTATTTTCAAATATCTCTGATTGTAACCGTCATTTCTGACAGCCTCCTGATGATTGCTTCGCATGAAGCATGAAACTCAGAGTAGCAAATAAATGACCGAATAACCAACTCTTGGATTATATATATAATATATATTGCAAAACGTGGTTTTGCCTGTTAACTTGCTTGATGCAAGTGAGAATTCAAGATAGTAAACTCTGAAAAGGTTGACCTTTAGACAAAAGAAACCTTAAGTAAAGCAGACCACGAAATAGACAGGCCCCCAAGCTCCCATTCAAACCAGCTTGCAGCTGAATAAGCCAGCCTGGATAAATATGGCAAATAAAGAAATAAATAAAGATTGTTAATTTAGAGTATCCGAACCATTTCGAAGTTTGTGCAACGCAAAATCCTTTATTACTGCGTCTCTGGAGGGGTGCATCTACCCGCTGACGAGTGGAATGGGAATAGAAAGGTCCTCTTCTCCTTTTTCCGCTTTCATTCCGCTCTTCATTCTCGTCAAAAAGACCGCTAACTAAACTACACATACCATTACTACAACTACTTCTATGAAGGCTGTTGATTAGACAGAGTCAGTTTCATGAAAAGGTCAGGCTCTAATAGGGTTGCCCCAGGTTTTTCTGTCCTTTGCTAACACTAAATGTAATTGAATACATCATCCTTCATGAAAATGACAATCTAAGACAATTTATTAACTTTACAGAAAATATCATGGATTGCAACAGGGACTGGTCTCATGTTTGCAGTCATTTTTTACACCAGCCCAAAAGAGCCAGAGAAACGTTTTAGAAGACGTAGCACGTTTTTAGATTTAACGGTAAGTCAGATATGGCTTATCGTTATTATTGTACAACCCTGTAGCCAAAGAAAAGTGCGATGCAAAATCAAATGACTGCGAAGACATGCGTGAACTTTCGATTTAGTGAGGCCTTTCGACTGGAGAGTCCCTCATATTTCACTTTATATCTACACTTTTTCCACAAAAATTTGTAACATAAATTGTGACATTTGAAATTCCACATGCAGTTTTTTTAGATGCTTGACTCCATATTTTAAACTGGTATGGTGTACTTGTAGTTCGAATGAATCCCTGTGGATGATGGCTTGGCACATTTGGCAGGAACACGGAGGAGTCATTATTATGCTGATGAAAGTGGGGAAAATTTGGTAACACTTTTCACACTTTTCTCTTTGCAGAATGTTCCTGTGATGTTCACGCCGTTGTCTGAAGACGATCAAAGTAAGTTCACTCAGAAAGTAAAACTAACTCTATGACTAGCAAGTCTGTAGCCGGCCAAGTTATGTACCAGTACACCCAATTTTCCCCATGAATTGAGCCAAAAACATTCTGGAACATGGAATAGATATTGACACTATATCTAGTTCTAATGATAGTAACCAACCCTTCCACTACGTTTCGAGCTTGCGAAACTGTCGCCCTTAAATGAGTTCCCTGTTTACTAAGGAAGTGAAAACAAGATTGCTTCCTTTCTGCCCCCTAAACCATAATTCTAATGAGAATGCTTAACGCAACACAGCTAAAGAATTGGTATGAAATTTTTCCCTCCCGACCTCATGTTCAAGTTGTGGGTTAATCTTGGTCAATTTTTTTTTCATTGTTTTAACTTTTACTCAAGACCCTAGAAAGAACAGTATTTCCCATCTATTCGTTAACTCAATCATGGCTTCATCAAGTTTCGAACAAATTGAGCGCGAGGGTGGAAACGAAAATCCAAGTCGTTCATCGTACGAGAGAAAGAGAAGTATGGTACAGAGGTTTTTGCACGCTGTCTTCGATGAAGATGAAAGTAACGCTGACAAAAATCAGTTGGAAAATGATGTTGCAAAAACAAGTGAAATTTCACCGGACCTGGACATAAACGCGTGCATAGCCGCACGAGTAAAAAATTTAGATCGTGGTCGTAAAAAGAGTCTTGTCGTGCGTGTGTTTGATGGGATCCTTGCTAGGATGGAGAACGACCAGCCCAAGGAATGTGAAGACCAACCTGTGTCAGATAATGTGGATGCAGATGTAAATGGCAAAGTAACATTGAAGGATTCAGAAAGTGAATGGAAATTTGAAGATGGCGAGAAATTGGATTTTGACATAAATAAAGACTACGAAGATGAGGAGCAAGGAGATTATCAAAAAGATCAGACTAAAGGAATCGTAGAAAGTTCTGTTTTGACTGCGCCTAAGTCTAGAAGACATGGAGTCACTTTAATGCCACATATGAAACAACTAAGTATGAGTCATTTGGCTCATGAAGATGATGATAAATGCAAGAAGGCTGACGGGTGCGTAAGCGATACTTCACGACATCCCAGGGCACTGAAAAAATCTGTGGCTTTCATGTTACCCGAATCTCCTGTCTTGAATGAAAAACAGCTGGAATTGAACCCGATTGAGTCGGACAAGACGCAGACTACAACTGCGTTTGAAAGAAGTCAAGACCATCCTGAGACACATGGAACAGAAAATAAAGGATTTGAACCATGCGAGGAAGTTGATGAAGAAGAGAATGGCGGAACGACAGATCTACCTGTTCCATGCAAGACTCCACGTGAGAGGAAACGTTCAAAGACACTTAAAGATTGGTTAAAAGATCCAAACTTATACAAGGTAGCCTTAAATATAATGTGCCTATTTAATAAGACATTATTGAAAACAAGGGCTGCTAGATTCTTAACATACTCTACTTAGAAGATAATATCGATGGAAGCACGATTAGGTCTACACGGGAATGAGGCACTCTTGGTATTCAGAGTCCAGTTATCTGTTGAAGGGTATTGTTCTAAGTAAAGAACATTTTTGGGATATCCGAAGTCTCTTTTGTTAGCATCTCTTGTCAGTGAAGTGCGAATATTCAGTTAAAGAAGACAGAAGTGAAAGGGTATTAAAAGAGGTGGAATTGTGTTTACTTATTGATTCAATTCGACGATTTTTTTAGCTTCTCCTCACTGAACGTTCTCCTTTTCAGGTGGCCGCTATCTTCACATTCTGTCGTCTCGCTCAAGGCTCAGTCTATGCTTTTATGGCACTTTATCTTATAGAAAAATTAGAGTTTCCAAAGGTAATAGATATTTAATTTTTTTTCTTTTGTTGATTATTTCATCCTGTTTTTCGTGGATTGGGCCTAAGCTCTATATAAGAGGGGGAAAATGAGTCTCCTGAATCCTTAGCAAAGTGAAGAGTTCGAGAGAGCTTTGTCAAGTAACCTTTAGTTTTCTGAATTTCTCTTTGAACTTATTTGTTCAAACGTTCCTTAATTCATGTGATGCATGACCCATGCATGTAAATGCCCTATCTTCTTCGTCAATCTCGTGAATGTTTTTTTTACAGATAGGGACTTTCCAACAAATCTTGTCTTTCAGCTTTTCACATAGTTAAATCTAACTTCGTGCTTAAATTTTCCAATGATAACTGGTACCATTAAGTTGGCGAAATGATCAACTCAATGTCTGCATGTGAAATATTGTATTATGATAGACTGGGATATTTCTATGATTTACCATGCTTTTAAAATCTTACCTGTCTTCCTTGTTTTCCAAAACCAAGAAGTGTATGATTTACTGTGTCATTTGTTTTTGCCTTGTTTAAGGAAGCGAGCGCCTATTTTCCTCTTGTTCTTCTAACGGGTGCGACTTCTTCAAGCTTCATTTGCGGCAAACTAATCAGGAAGATAGGAAGCAAGGTAGGTCTGTCAGGGGAAAATGTTCTTCCACTGCCTGAGGCTAAAATCAAAAATTTCCAACGCTAGGTAAGAGAAGAGGGTAACTTTTTTTCCGAAGAATATGGTTTAATTCTATATCACGGTTACAGTAGAGATTCTCTTACACCTTTCCAAAATTTTACTAGCTGACAATAATAGTTGCGAACTTAATAAATAAAGGACCGCTGAAGTGGTATATTTTTAAGCCCAAAGTTTTCATGAGCACCTGCTACAGATAAATTGTTTAAATAGACAGGTTCTGTACTTCCATCATTTTGCGCCAGTATATAATAGTTTCTTACAGAGACCACTTCGATCTTCTTCTGCTCCTTAATTTCAAAATCAATTGCGCGTGAATGTCATGTATAATTTCTTACTGAAGTTCTTTGTCAACTAAGAGCTCAATCATAATGTGAGGAGCGGGACGAAACCGTTGCCTTCAGCTAAATGTTGCAGACGTTAGTGATATTGTATGTATAAAACTGATAAATTTCTGATAGAAATATGGTAGAAAGGTAACAGTTCGAGTCATGTCTGATCTACTATCGCAGTGGAGCTTTGTACTGGCGGGTTCTGTTGTGATGGCCGGTGCTGTTTGGAGTTATTTTCAAACTCCCGCCACCCGTCAACTAACGTATGTACCCGTGGCAATGATAGGAAGTGGTCTGTCAGTTATGTACGTCATGGCACTGGCTTTCATTGCTGAACTGCTAGGTGAAGATAAGGTAAGTAATGGTGATACGATATTGAACATTTTAGCCCAAATTAGTTTTTAAGTTCTTCATCAGTAATTCATTTTCATTTAGCTCATTCCTTATTATACTCGTTGCCTTTGTTGCATCTTTGGCTTTCAATTCGATTAGTTCAAGGCTATTTCAAGGTTTCATCCTACTTAAAGATTAGTCTACTTGACACTCACAGTAACTCCTAACATCACAACTTAGAATCCTGAAAATATCTTGGTAACAATGAACTCATCCGCCTGGCTCCCAATCGACCAAACAACTAATCAACCAAATACTGGAGGAAAAATTCTCTCTGAACAAACAGCAGCCCACTGACCCAAACGATGAAACTGCTATCCCAAAATCTTAACTAAACAATGTCTAAATGTTCCCAAACTAAAACTGGGTCCACAATATCACCAAACAGGAAAGCAGTGGATCAGTGATTTCCATTATCAACATGATCGCTGCAGTGTCAACGAGTCTCCTTGCTTTTGCTCTTCAGAGATTGTACCCAGATAATGAGTAAGTATGCTAGCCTTAAAACGTTTTCTGAGTCCGTTTAAGGGGTCAACTGAAAACAAACAGACGAACAAATAAACAGACGCTGAAGTGGTTTATCCCACTTTGATCTGAACTTTTTCTTGGAATTGTCTTAGCATGGTACCGCTTATATCAGTAATTTATTGAAAACGCACTGAGGTCCTCGAAGTTAACAAATCCACAGGGTTTTTAACTCGACCCATCGCATGCTACTCTCGTCGCAAATAAGAAATTGAAAAGACGATTTTATTTGACACCCTAGAACCAGCTCACAAGAGGAGATTGGTGATTATGTGAGGGATGCCTTTGCGATGGCCTCTGGCATACCGACTCTTATGGGAGTCCTGGTGGTTTTGCTTTTCCAGCCTTCACGGTTTACTTGCAAATCTAAAGGTAATAAGAACATATGGTATTGTTCGGTAATTTCCATAAAAAAAAGTCTCGCAAAACAAATTTTTAGCATTTTACTGCTCTGTCCGCACTGTGATAAGTGATTATACGAAATCTTGAGAACTTGTGGTGCTTCAACAATTATTTCATGGTTTACTAATGGAAAATTAACTTTTGCTGTCTCTCCGTTTTAGCTCTACGGGATGTCGAGGCCCAGGATGATGACCGTGTTTCACAGTGTTCATCGGAAGGCACGTCTAAACCTAAACACTAACTTTGTCACAACGTCACTTAGATTGACTCAAACAAAGAAAAAAGCGGCTAACACGATTAAGTAAACTTGTAAACATTTGGTCTTTTAACAATCGACTTATAAAAAATTATTTGCATTCTCTCTCCGTTTTAGCTTCACGTCATAATGTCGAGGCCGAAGCAGATCAGTGCGTTTCACAACAGTCACCTAAAGCTGAAGGGACGTCAATAAAACCGAGCGTTAACTTGGATAAAACTCAGAATCCCATGATGGTTGCGATTTCTTCTTCTCAGGATACAAAACTGTAAAAACAGTTCTCTGTAATCAACAATGAAGCGCTGTAATACTGCAATAGTGTGTTATTTTAACTGATTTCCACATATCACTGAGAAAGTGATTATAAACTGTTTATAATTATTTTCTTGCACTGAGAATTACATGGATGTTGCAGCGGCTTTCTGCTATCAGCCCAGCCTAGTTAACCAGACTAGTGGCGTAATTGATCATCGTTAAACTTTCAAGTGCAAAAAGGATCAGTCTTAAATCAAAACAAAGATCGTAATAAAGTTGAACGTAATGCTTGCGTTATGAATAACTATAAACACTGTAAATAGAAATTGGAGGTTTGAACTTAGGTCACGGCACTTTCTAATTGTTCTGACAGGAAATCATATCAGATGAACGTGAGAGGTACATTACAAAGACACTCAAGCTTTTCAAAAAGACGGAGTCAAGGGTTATCTTATACTCGAGTGTTTTGCCGTTTTTTTCCCCTCATGATTACCAATTTATATTCATACCACGCTCACTGAAAGAGTTTGGAGACCTACACACGTGTAATCCATAATGCTTTACTCAACGCCAGTTTTTCTCTCTATCATCGATCGAACACGAAGGGCTGCAGTGCATACATGTAAATCAAAAGTGAATCCTCTTTACGGTTCCTAGAATTTATTGATTAGCATTACTTTTCTTGGTATGTAGTCAAAATAAATCACTTTTAACAGAACAGCTGTAACGATAGATCGTTGGACCTACTCGACAAAGTGAAAAAAAAAATAAAGACACTCAATAGACTGCAGTAAGAAACTTTGCCACATTTCCCTGCAGACAAGACAGATATAAGCCAACTCTATTTGAGAATGATAATTCCCTTCTGGTATACAGCAATTACCCTCCGGGAATTGGTGTGTTTTTTTCTCGATCATTCCTTTGTGATTATCATAGGCATGTTTCAGTACTGAAAATCCTAGAAAAATCCCAAAATTGCGACTCAAAATAAATCGAAATAAAATGAAATGAGTCAATGCTAATAACTTCCTGTGGTTAAAACGTCTGATAAAATCCATTAGAAGATGCTGAAAAACATCCATCGAATGAAAAAAAATAAGACCCTTGCATCTAAAGGAGTGTTGGCGCAACACTTTGTTGCTATGGCACAGCTACACGTAAGTAAAAAATGTAAATGAATAAATCAACCTCAACAAGACACAGGTGTGGCGTCTTCTATTCACACGCCCTGAGAGTAAATAGCGAGACCACTTCAAGGGCCTTTCGGTTGATTTAAAGGTACTGGAAAAAAATTTTGACGCACAAGTTCTTGAAAATTTCCACAAAGCTTTGCATCCAAATATTTAGTTCATTTTTAATCTGAGCGTTGTAAAAGATATTTTGGTACGATGAATATATGAAGTTCATATATTTTGAACTGCGGTAAAAGATACGTATGATGCACGATCCTCGCAGTAGAGAGCGCTATTTATGCAATAGCGAAAATCAGACCTGAAAAAAAATCAGGCCAGTACGGGATTCGAACCACTGACCTCTGCGATATTTTATTCGTTAACTGCTGAAAATCTCAATAACAAGGCATAATCGAATTTCAATTAATCGGTTTGGTGGGCCAGTTCTGGCTGCTATCATATCTAAAACAATGCATTAACTTGTAAGGTGCCTTAAACCTAGTAAATCAAATTCAACTGAAATTTAACGTGCAAAAATATCTCCATGTTCAATTTTCAGCTTAACTTCAACATGAACGATCAAATGTTTCTTAGGCTTTGCAAACTAGAATTTTAAAAATTGTACACCCTAATTATTACTTTTTGTCAAGTTGAGGAGGAGGGGAAGAGAGGGACAGAGAAATGTAAATATAGGTTTTGCTCCCGGACCCCACAGTACTTTTCTTAGAGATTACTAGCCCTCTCGTGTGGTATGTTTTATGGCCTTTCCCGGAAAGAACATTCCTTTAAGACGTTTGCTGAATCACTCAGTCGTGCATGGCTTCATTATCAGACCATTGAGAGAGCACTGCGAAGTAGATGCTATGAAAGTTTCCTAACCACAACTACTCTTTGGATTGATGAGTCTTTCCTACTGCAGAACATATACGAAGGAATTATTTCCTTCTACAAGACCCTCTTACATCACTTAATCCTTACTGAGAGGTGCAAAGGGTTGTTCCGCATTATATCGATCCCACGATCCAGAGTATTTAACAAATACCCTCTAATTTAGATTGTTGCCAGTTTTTTTTGTCCTCTTCATGTATCGAGCTAAGAACATGAGTAATTGTAACTGAAGTATTCGTAGACTCTATGTGGATAAAGATTAATTTTTTGTACCGCGCATTACATTGCTACCTTTCCTAGCGGTGAAACAAATTGCTTTCAAAGAATGAAGGATATTACAAACCTATAGGATAGGAGCATTTGAGGGATTGTTTAACCCTGAAGTAAAGTAGACGACGCTTTATGTCTATTGATAATAATTATATACGTCTATCTTTCAGAAAACTTTACTCGGAACCTTTTTTTAGATTCTACTACCTTGACACCTACATGTAAATACATTCCTCATAGAATTAAATTAAAGCTTACGCTGACAAGAATGAAATTTAAAATCTCTCCCCTTCCTGCAGGTTTTTCACTGACCTAAAGCACTTACGATTCAAAATGTGTGAACCGAAAATGTGGGTGTGACTTTAAGCAGGTCGATGAACCAAATGGTAATTGCACTAGCTAAATCATGAGTCTCAACTGATTTTTGTTTTCAGAAAAGAATACACGGTAGCGATCCGGTCATTGTGAAAACCGTCCCGCGCTGCACACGTTAGCTTTCTCTATGGTTTTCTATGGAATTGCACGAGCGGGGCGGACGGGTCATTTGACAAATATGCGTTATTGACCCAGTGGAAAAAGAACTTGGCCAATATCCAGCCATCTTGACCGAACCAGCTTAGTCAATAAAGGATCTAGAACCTTGCAAAAACATTTTTATTTGAGAAGGATCAAGAATGACATTTTTATTTCGAGAGCCGGGAAAGAAAGCCAGCTGTGTTTGTAGCACATTCAAATAATCATTAATAATTAATGAGATGACCAACTTAAATGAACATTATTCATCTTCTGCCACCATTATTCAACATTATTCAAAGCTGCCACCATTTGGACCCTCCGACCACTTATCTAACTTGGTAAGATCTAAGGATAAAGTAAACATCCGTAGTAACGCAAAGCGCAACAGAGACTTGAGACCTAGTCGCCGCTTTCAGCACCTTTTTAAACGAAATTGATTGGACAATCCTCGATCTACACTCAAACTGCGATAATAAGCTGGCTACTTTTGAAACCGTTATTTGCACTGGAAGGGACATCTTGTTGCCCTTAAAGACGATGAAGTATCGTTCCAACGAATCCGCCTGGGTTATGCCCCATCTTAAAACACTTCTTTAACAACGGCCGAATACCCTTACCAATGGCAACATGATCAAATTTAAAACTCTTCGTAACCAGGTGAACCGCGAATCTAAAAGATGCAGAAGTACCTTCTTTCAATCCAAAGTCAACCATCTGAAAGGGAATAATCCGAAATGTGGTGGAAGTCGGTTAAAGTCCTATGTGGAATGAATCCTGTTTCCCCTTCAAACGATCTGCGTGTACTATTAAATCAAGAGAACGAATATCACTCTAGCAGCTACGAACATCTAACAAAATTTGCCAACTCTATCAACCAGAAATTTCTCGAACCTATGTCCTCCTTCACACCTCTTGAAGCTACGATCCCGCCAATTGATGACTCTGCTCTGCTTGCCGATGTGATCACAGTGGAAAAAGTCTTTCAACTCCTTGTTCACCTTAAACCATCCAAGCTTCCGGGCCCGACTCGCGAAAATTAAGGCATGGCTGCGATTTTTTTGGGCGTGGTTACCAAGCCCTTGTAAAATCTCCTGTTGCAAAACAAATATGGCGGCGAATGCCGGACAAAAATATGTCGTCGTAGTGTTGTTTCCAGCTATGGCCGGTTTAGACAGTGGCTTTTTCCCGTGGAAGATTTCAGTAATCGTGGGTTTTTACAGTTACTTTGGTGTCGAGCAATCAGGAATCGTTTATCACCCATTTTTACAAAATATGTACTTTGGAAGAGAACGCGGCAGGTTAGGTAAGCTACTGTTAACATAATTATTAGCGATAAACTTAGCGGTTTGTCTTTACTCTCCGAGAACTGTGGATATTTCAAAAAAAAAGTATGATCCGTTTTAACCTTGCATGCCCTTTCGTTAAACTTACAACTCACACTATATACTCACCTCCCCCTCGATTTTCTCGCACGTGAAGATCAACAACACAAGAATTTTTGTGGTGGTGGGGCACGAGTTTTCATTTAGTTAAACTTTACTTAGGTTTAATCCTTATCATGTCTAATAAAGCGGGCTTTGTCTTAAAAAGAGTACTGCTTTATAATTCTTTATGTCAAATGTCCTGCCACGGGCCGGCAGCTCTTTGCTAGCAAATGACCCACTGCGGATACCTTACATAATTGTACAACTTGACAATTGCCCGGGGGGATGAGTTGGCTTGGAATTTACAGAGCCATTAAGTTTTGAAATTTTTGCTATTTGCTGGAATAAATGGCTGATATTGAAACTAAATTACCGATATATGTACTTCATGTTACAGTTGAGACAAAGTCTAATATATTAGACTTGTAAGATATTTAACATGAAAATTTTATTAAAGGACTATTTTTAAATACTTGTAGATTAAAAGTGGATTGATAAACTTTTCTTGTGATAGTGTTATATACAGTGCGTGTCATGTCTATGCCATACATGCAAGCCTATGTTTGTACAGTGTATGTAAAAGCCAGCCTATACAAATTATTTTAGTCGACATGAATCAGTACAAATGAACAGTGACTCCCCAATATTTAAGAAGCTCATCACATAAAATTATTTTCTTGTAGACAGAGTATTGTTTCTTGTCTTTTTTTACATCAGTCAAACTCGGCTCATGGAAGTCATGCTT